CTGCCGGTAACTGGCTAAACCACAATCGAGCTGATCCCTTTAGTGTCACTGGAAAAGCTCGACACATGATCTCGTCAGGGAAAGCATGGAGGATCATGAGGGTGCGATAGGTTTCCAGATGGTCGACTGGGTCTGTCGTGCCATCGAAGGAGTCAATGGTAGGCATTTTGAACTTGGCGGGCAACGGTTTGTCGCGGATGGAGGCAACAAAAGGCGAGTTAGCGGTGGCTGAGGGCTTGTACTGGATGTTCTGCATGACCCCTTGTAATTGGAGTTTCATAGCTCGGAGTTTGGCGTCCCAGAGGGGAATGTTGTCGCCATGGTCGGTCAATGGGGGCTGGACACTGCTGGCTTCCCCCTCAGGGGCTAGTGGCACGACTGGCGGGCGTGGGGGCGGAGGTGGGAGGCTCATATGTGGAGGAGGAGGGGGTTGTAAACCTTCTAGGTTGGGGGGAAGGGATGGTGGAGCATTGTGGTCCGAGGTTCTTTCTTGGTTGGGTGGAATGTCTAGGGGTGGAGCAGGGAGGTTTCTTTGGAGCAAAGCATTGATCAGGGCCTGGTTTTGCTCGGCCATACGGTTGATACTGTTGGTAAGCTCGATGATGTACTGTGGTGGGTTGTTTGGATGGGAAGGGTCTGTTTGATGATCGGTGGTACTATGGTGGGAGGCCATAGACCTAGTCGTGACCATACACCTGGACGGGTGAGAGGAAAAAGGTAATAATGAGAAAGGAGGGCTCCGGCGATAGCGAACACAGCTAGCGCACGAATAAACCACAGGTTTCCCACAGACGGCGCCAACTGATGATGCTGTCCGTCCCGGGTGGATGGGTCGGGCTGGTCCAGGCTCTTCAGGTTCCTGTTTGGGGTGATGATTCCGTCAAATGACCTGCATGCAAGTCCAAAAGGGGAACGGGGCAGTCCCCCAGTGAACCCTCCGGCGTGAGAATTAGTAGGGGAAGCAGGAAATGTAGAGAGGGAGATGGAGAGATAAAAAACTTAACCTTTCTCTTGTCTTTCTATTCTTGCTTATATCATTTGGTAATCATTTCACTGTCCCTTGTGGCGTGCCCCCTTCCGCCGAAAGCTTGTGCCGTAGCTTACCTTGTTCAGGGTGAGGGGGCTCTGTTCCGACGGGGAGGTGTTGTCGTAATAAATGCTGTGATGGGGTGCATTAATGGTGATGTGTTGTGGTAATAACTCTGCAGATCTTTGTCTGCTGATGTGGCCCGTGTTCCACCTGCCATGTGCCCGAATGCCATTGGCCCCCCATGTCTAGATGGCCTCCAGCTGTCCTGGGCTTTGCCAACCGGGTTATGTTATTGGTCCTAAGCGATGGGTTCGGGGTGGTTTGCTGTGGGCCGTATGCCTCGTGGGCCTGTCCATGTCAGGTCCCATTATATATAATTAAATCTAGACGATACATCAATACATTCATGGTAAAATAAATTTAGTGCCTCAACCTTTTTAAAAGCAAAGAATTAGCCTTGTTTGGTTTGTTTTTGAAAAAATAAATAAATAAATTTTGAAAAAATAAAAACTAATTTGTTAAAAATAAATATTTTTTAATTTTTAAAAATTATTTATGGCCTTCCAAAAGATAAAATTATGTAAAATGATAAGTGTTTTTTTTTTTAAATTTCTTTTACAAAATTAATTGTTTATTTTTAAAAAAATTTATTTAAAATAAGTTTTTGAAAATCAAATCAAACATGGCCTTAGATATGTATTATAAGAGTAAAAATAAATTGTTGTAAGTAATGAAATCAAACAGTACATTTTTTATTTGGTTGTGTATTGTAGGTGGAAGTGATACAATGGAAAATCGAGACCGTCCATTTGTAGATGTGCGTGATCTTGCTGAAGCTCTTCTTCTGACGTACGAAAAACCTGAGGCACAAGGAAGATACATATGTTCATCATACGTGATTTAAAAAAATTATTTAAAATAAGTTTTTGAAAATCAAATCAAACATGGCCTTAGATATGTATTATAAGAGTAAAAATAAATTGTTGAAAGTAATGAAATCAAATAGTACATTTTTTATTTGGTTGTGTATTGTAGGTGGAAGTGATACAATGGAAAATCGAGACCGTCCATTTGTAGATGTGCGTGATCTTGCTGAAGCTCTTCTTCTGACGTACGAAAAACCTGAGGCACAAGGAAGATACATATGTTCATCATACGTGATTGGAGCTCAGGTTTTGGTGGAGAAGCTCAAGACATTGTATCCCTACTATAATTATCCCAAGAAGTAAGTGTAAATTTGTAATTAACTTTCGTTTTTTATTTTTTTGTTTTTAAATTGAGAACAAAAATTTGTTTGAAATATTGTGGTCGTTTTTTTAAAAAAATTGAATTGATTTTCAAAGATTTTAAAATTTTTGGAAACCAACAAAAAAAGAAGAATGTTTATACTAATTTGTTGTTAAAACAAAATTTTCATCACCTTCGGCCACCATTCTCGTCGGCCACTTTAAATCCAACCATTGGCTTGTTGATTACTAGTAATATTCGACTAGTTTCAATTGACCACCAGTGACCTTTGGCCAGTCATAAAACAATCTTCTAGTCACCTTTGACTGCCTTGTTTAGCGACATTTTGATTACCTTTATTGTTTCTCACCATCACCATCAACTTGCCAAAGATATATATATTTTTTATTTTCTTTTCATTTATTTTCAAAATATTTGTTTACAACAGGCAAGTTTTTTTTTTAAAATTATTTTATATATATATATATATATATATTGTGAATTTGGGTAAAAACAAAATTCAAAAACAAAGCGTGTTTCTTATTGTCAACAATGTTCTGGTTGGCAATGAAGGCATCGATTTGAGCTTGTAAGAGACTCTATTGTTGTGTTTGAATTATGAATTTGAGTAAAAAAATTGAAAGAAAAAGATAAAAAGTAGATAAATATAAGTAAAATGTAATTATATTTCATTCATAATTCACTCACATTTTTCTTTTCAAATCTTTGTCCAAATACATGACTTACAATATGGCCTAAACATCCATTTGCATCATTAATAATCACTATTGTCACTAACTAAACTTATTTATTAATCCCATGACAGTTTTAGTGAGGTAAAGGAACGCATAAATCTTAGTTCCAGCAAATTGCAGAAATTGGGATGGAAGTTTAGGTCATTTGAAGAGACTCTTGCTGATGCTGTCAAGGACTATGAAGAATATGGTCTCCTGGTTCCCAAACACTAAAACCTATATACATATATGTCTATATCTACTGTTATGACATGGGCTTTAATTTTTCAATTTGGAATAAGATGCTATGTAATAAATTTTGGTGAATAAGATTATACATACATTATTTTTTATATCATTTTATACTATTTATCCACAATAAGAGTGAATTCCGCACCATCACATGTTGTGGGGCTCACTCGCATTATAAGTAAATGATATAAAAAATGATGTATCCGTTGTCAGACTCATATTTTGTGCAATAATCTAACAATAGTAATTTAAGTGGGATTTAAATGATTTTCAAACCACCAAAGGCGAGGATTACAATCACCCTCAAATCACCATTGTAAGATTATTGCAGAAAATGCTAGTCCCAATAGTTCCACTCTACTCTACTCTTTTTGTACTTGTAATATAAACCTAAGGTACTTCAATGTGGTGTACATGCTGTGTTGTCTTTTTTGTAACGTATCATTCTATTGAAGCATCTTTAATCTTTTAATTGTGTACATTGGTTTCTTTTTATGTAGGATAAATTACTCTAGTTTGTCTCTTAATTTGATTTTTATAATTTTAATTGCATCAAACTAAAATCAAGGGTAGGGCTGCAAATGAACGGAGCCGTTCGTGAACAGGCTCGAGCTCGGCTCGGTAAGAACTCGTTCGAACTCGGTTCGTTAATTTTTTTTTACGTTCGAGCTCAAGCTCGAAGTCGTTAAATTTTTAATAAACAAGCCCAAACATCCTAAAGCTCGGCTCGTAAGCTCGATTCGTTAGCTGGCTCATTTAATATTAATTATTTATATATTAAATAATATAAAAATATGTATAAAAAATAAGAGAAATATGCTATTTATATATTTAAAAAATATATATGTAAATAATAATTAACTATAGATAGTACATTTATATAATAGTGACAGTAGATATTATTATTTTAGTAAAATATGGACTTTTTTTAAGTATGTTTATATATATTGTATATATAATTGTATAATCAAAATTTTAATTATAACTTTAGTTTCATATGTAAGTATTACTTTATAATTTTTTTGACTTGTTAAGACTCGTGAACAAGTTCGAGCTCGAGTTGAGTCTAAACCAACTCAGCTCAAACTTAGTTCGTTAAATTTTTATTAAACTCGGGCTCATACTCGAGTTCATTAAAATGTTAATGAACAAGCTAAAACATATTAAAATTCAACTCGATTTATTCTCGGCTTGTTTGCAGCCCTAATCAAGGGAAAAAATGTTCATTAACTATCTTCAAAGTGATTAGAGGATTATCATGTAATTTATAGATTTGTTGATTTGGTAATTATTATCTGTAATTTTATCATAAGATCTCAATTATAGTGACGATTTCTGTGGGGATATATTTCTGAGTACCAACACGTGGCAAGGTGACGCCGATGTGTCAGCTGAGGTGCCACGTGTCCTGGTCATTATGTCGAGGTTATCTCGGCATTGCCGAGGTTATCTCTGAAGATATCGGTATCCGAGATAAACGGATAAGGGACAAGAGTCCTAGAGTAAAGAGGAGATTTAGCCAAGATAAGGATAAAACTCTTTGAGAGTTTATCTTTATCTCTTGAAGAGTCTTAGGTAAGTATTGAATTGGAGTCCACAGGAGTCAGGCTTCTAGTGGGACTAGGATTAAGGTAATTATAAAAGAAAGGCACCCCCGTGGGTCTAAGGTACGCAATTTATGCTTTGAGCAGTGAGTTTAGCACTTGATTATCTTTGAGAGATATACTGACTTGATCGTCGGAGTGACTTGATCGTCGGAGTGCCCCCGGGTGGAAGAGCCACCGCCGGAGCCTTTTCTTTCTGTTACAAGTTAACTGAAGCTATCTATTCTGCCGGTGCTCTCTAGTTGATTACTAAACGGGCAGTGTGGTCAAGAAAATTATTTACACAATTTGGCGCCGTCTGTGGGAAAGAAAGGAGAATAGATGGCCATCATCATACAAGATCAACGTATCGAAAACGACGAGTTTAGCAAAGATAGAGAATGTGTCGACATAAACAGAATGAAGACCCTTCCAGAAGGGACGCAAAGACAGGGGGCATGAGCGCTCCCAAGGAGATGACATTCGAGTATAGAAGAGCTCAGCCTAAGTGAGCAAATCCCGGATCTCAGATCCCAGATCCCAGAAGACATGATTTCGGCCCAAATGAATAGGTCCGAGAAGAGAAGAGCTCAACCTGAGTGAGCAGATCCAAGATTCCAAAAGACAAGAGCTTGGCACTTAAATCCGAGAAGAGAAGAGTTCAGCGAACAAAATCTCAGATCCTAGAAGATAAAAAAAAAACACACACACACAATTAGGAGGCAGAGAGAAAGACAAAGATGTTTAACACTTGTTGAAATTTGTAGCAATTTACAAGTTGAAGTTGAACCGAGATTATTGTTTAACACTTGTTGAAATTTGTAGCAATTTACAAGTTGAAGTTGAACCGAGATTATTGTTTAACACTTGTTGAAATTTGTAGCAATTTACAAGTTGAAGTTGAACCGAGATTATTGTTTAACACTTGTTGAAATTTGTAGCAATTTACAAGTTGAAGTTGAACCGAGATTATTGTTTAACACTTGTTGAAATTTGTAGCAATTTACAAGTTGAAGTTGAACCGAGATTATTGTTTAACACTTGTTGAAATTTGTAGCAATTTACAAGTTGAAGTTGAACCGAGATTATTGTTTAACACTTGTTGAAATTTGTAGCAATTTACAAGTTGAAGTTGAACCGAGATTATTGTTTAACACTTGTTGAAATTTGTAGCAATTTACAAGTTGAAGTTGAACCGAGATTATTGTTTAACACTTGTTGAAATTTGTAGCAATTTACAAGTTGAAGTTGAACCGAGATTATTGTTTAACACTTGTTGAAATTTGTAGCAATTTACAAGTTGAAGTTGAACCGAGATTATTGTTTAACACTTGTTGAAATTTGTAGCAATTTACAAGTTGAAGTTGAACCGAGATTATTGTTTAACACTTGTTGAAATTTGTAGCAATTTACAAGTTGAAGTTGAACCGAGATTATTGTTTAACACTTGTTGAAATTTGTAGCAATTTACAAGTTGAAGTTGAACCGAGATTATTGTTTAACACTTGTTGAAATTTGTAGCAATTTACAAGTTGAAGTTGAACCGAGATTATTGTTTAACACTTGTTGAAATTTGTAGCAATTTACAAGTTGAAGTTGAACCGAGATTATTGTTTAACACTTGTTGAAATTTGTAGCAATTTACAAGTTGAAGTTGAACCGAGATTATTGTTTAACGTTCGTTAATTTTTTTTGCCGTTCGAGCTCGAGCTCAAGCTCGTTAAATTTTTAATAAACAAGCCCAAACATTCTAAAGCTCTGCTCGTTAGCTGGCTTGTTTAATATTTATTATTTATATATTAAATAATATAAAAATATGTATAAAAAATAAAAGAAATATGCTATTTATATATTTAAAAAATATATATGTAAATAATAGTTAACTATAGATAGTACATTTATATAATAGTGGTAGTAGATATTATTATTTTAGTAAAATATGGACTTTTTTTAAGTATGTTTATATATATTGTATATATAATTGTATAATCAAAATTTTAATTGTAACTTTAGTCTCACATGCAAGTATGAATTTATAAATTTTTTAGCTTGTCAAGGTTCGTGAACAGGCTCAAGCTCGAATCGAGCCTAAGCCAACTCGACTCGAGCTCGGTTCTTTAAATTTTTATTCAGCTCAAGCTCGAGCTTGTTAAAATCTTAATAAATAAGTCCAAACATACTAAAGCTCAGCTCGGCTCGGCTCGTTTGCAGCCCTAATCAAGGGAAAAAATGTTCATTAACTATCTTCAAAGTGATTGGAGGATTATCATGTAATTTATAGATTTGTTGATTTCGTAATTATTATCTATAATTTTATCATAAGATCTCAATTATAGTGACGATTTCTGTGGGGATATATTTCTGAGTACCAACACGTGGCAAGGTGACGCCGATGTGTCAGCTGAGGTGCCACGTGTCCTGGTCATTATGTCGAGGTTATCTCGGCATTGCCGAGGTTATCTCTGAAGATATCGGTATCCGAGATAAACGGATAAGGGACAAGAATCCTAGAGTAAAGAGGAGATTTAGCCAAGATAAGATAAAACTCTTGGAGAGTTTATCTTTATCTCTTGAAGAGTCTTAGGTAAGTATTGAATTGAAGTCCACAAGATTCAGGCTTCTAGTGGGACTAGGATTAAAGTAATTATAAAAGAAAGGCACCCCCGTGGGTCTAAGATACGCAATTTATGCTTTGAGCAGTGAGTTTAGCACTTGATTATCTTTGAGAGATATACTGACTTGATCGTCGGAGTGCCCCCGGGTGGAAGAGCCACCGCCGGAGCCTTTTCTTTCTATTACAGGTTAACTGAAGCTATCTATTCTGCCGGTGCTCTCTAGTTGATTACTAAACGGGCAGTGTGGTCAAGAAAATTACTCACACAATTTGGCGCCGTCTGTGGGAAAGAAAGGAGAATAGATGGCCATCATCAGACAAGATCAACGTATCGAAAATGACGAGTTTAGCAAAGATAGAGAATGTGTTGACATAAACAGAATGAAGACCCTTCCAGAAGGGACGCAAAGACAGGGGGCATGAGCGCTCCCAAGGAGATGACATTCGAGTATAGAAGAGCTCAGCCTAAGTGAGCAAATCCCGGATCTCAGATCCCAAATCCCAGAAGACATGATCTCGGCCCAAATGAATAGGTCCGAGAAGAGAAGAGCTCAACCTGAGTGGGCTGATCCAAGATTCCAAAAGACAAGAGCTTGGCATTTAAATCCGAGAAGAGAAGAGTTCAGCGAACAAAATCTCAAATCCTAGAAGATAAAAAAAAACACACACACAATTAGGAGGCAGAGAGAAAGACAAAGATGTTTAACACTTGTTGAAATTTGTAGCAATTTACAAGTTGAAGTTAAACCGAGATTAATGTTTAACACTTATTGAAATTTGTAGCAATTTACAAGTTGAAGTTAAACCGAGATCATTGTTTAACACTTGTTGAAATTTGTAGCAATTTACAAGCTGAAATTAAACCGTGATCATTGTTTAAACACTTGTTGAAATTTGTCGCAATTTACAAGCTGAAACTAAACCGAGATCATTGTTTAATCACTTGTTGAAATTTGTAGCAATTTACAAGTTGAGTTAAACCGATATAATGTTCAAACGCTTGTTGAAACTTGAGAAAAGTTTACAAGCAGAGTTAAACCGAGATGATGTTTAACACTTGTTGAAATTTGAGAAAAATTTACAAGTCAAGACAAGGTTGTACTGAAAGAAGTATCTACATACTTGTCGAGATTACCATGTTGCCAGGACTTGGAAGATAATGAAAGACAGAAGTCTTAAGAAGTAAAAGAAAAGTGGCCAATTTTTGAGCAACACTTGTGAAAACATTTGTTACAATGTTTTCAAGTATTAACCGAGGCTGAGATAAACCGATTAGTGGGTACA